TCGAGAGATTGACCCAATCACCAGCACAATGAAGAAGAAAAGAATCTCGTATTTCTTTCACATCTTACAACTGCCAGAAACCAGAATTGTACAACTAGTGAAGAGAAGCCTCGAAAAGAAGACAGGAGGACAGTGGGTCAAAGAAATTCAACAGGATCTCGAAGCAGTTGGACTCAAAATTGCTGATGCAGAGAACAAAGAGAAGATAAACACCCTTTTTAAGAGTCATAAATTTTCAGCAGAAATGACACATAGAAAGCTTGTGGAGATTTCAGACGAACTGAGGAAATCACGATCAGAACGAATGAAAAGGTACTGGGCAGAACTCAAGAACCAAGCAGTATAACCTTCAAAGAAAAAGTGAAGTGGAACGACTCAAGTGGTCCAATAAGGCCAATCAAGTTAATAATAATAATATAGCAAAGTATCTATGAAACTATACATTTATTTTAAGGTTAACATAAATACACATTTTTACTTGAATCTTCATTCAGTCCCAAAACAGTGTACATTTGATTTCAAAAGAATAAGTCATTTTTAGTGTCTTAACTGAAAATTAATGTATACTTTTTCTGTTTAGTAGCAATTTTTTAACTAACCCTTGAGTTTCTTACTACATATATGATTCTTTATAAATAAATACTACGTAAATTATATAATTATAATTTATAACCTATGTAAATTATAAAAATATAATTCACTGATATATAAAGTGTATATATAGCGAAGACGCAGTATACACAGTGCTGGAGTGAGGCATTTGAGAGGCACAGAGTTGTAAGGTCAGGATGAAGGAGTACGAAGTATGTACTTCGCTGTTCGGGAGACATCACATCCTAGGCACAGGTAGCAATGTTTCTGATGTCATTTGGTCAAGGTGTCTCCGAACAGCCAAGTAGATACCAAATCCTGCTGCAGAATGCCATGCTTTCAGGCATAGAAGAATTTATGGAATCTTCACTTCACACTCTGGCAGCTAAAAATGTGCTGCATCACTCTGTTTGTGAACTACACATGAGCAATTTGTGGAAAGTAATAAATACACGAATGCACATTGTAAAATATTGTACATAGTAACATGCAGTGATTCTTCATACCAACATTATTCACGGGCGGATACACTCAGTTCCACTTGCTGTCCTGGTTCTCGGACCAACGCCAAAAGTTTTTCAAGTTTCCGTGCCTCCAATACCCAAGGATCTATGGGAGGTCCTTTCTTAGGTGGTTTCATTTTCTTCCGAAGATTTGGTGACATTTTCAGAGTGATAAGGGAGCCTCTGAAAAGGAATAATACCATAAGTATGATGAACTTCAGCACTGGATTCACATCACTACGCATAACAATTCTCAAGTTTAATATTAGAATACAATAATTAAGAAATTTATCACAATATATAGACTATTTGTTCATTAATGTACAAAAGTTAAAAATAAACTACAAAAAGTATATGCAAGTAGCTCTGAATCAAAGAACTATATAATATAAAAAGAAAGAAAATAATTAGTAAACAAATATTTACAATAACAAACATCTACCCAGTAGATATAGAATTATAAAAATTCAAATATTCTACTCTTCGCATCCAACAAAAAACACTCAGTATTATCATGAAACACATTGATTGATAAAATATTTGTCAGCTTACACACACAGTTCACAGGGTTGTTTGCTTCATACGACCATCTATAAAATTTTTAAGTCAAAGATATCGTTATTTCTCGAGTTGAAAGAGGTGACTTATAGAGAAGCATGTCAGAAAAAAACATACAATTCAAATCCCCTCTAATCCACATGGGCAAAAGGATCAGATCATTCAGAGAGCATTGAGATTTAAAAGAAGGAATGTCAAGCTTTCATGAAAGGTCTAGGAAATGTTCTTGTACTCCTGTGCATCGAGCGGCAATCCTGAAAAATTTATGTTGCAGCACTGTCTCTATGCTCAATATACGGTTGCTAAAAATGAGAGACAATACAACAAAGAAGAAAAACAAAACAGGTTCAAATAACATTAGAAAGAGCGATTTTAATGTGGTAATTGAAATCTATAAAAACGTGCTATAAAATCCAAGACACGGTTGGATTTATTTACAGTGCACTGGATATGTTCATTAAATGTCATAACAGAATCAAATATCACACCCAGATCTCTCATGAATATGACTCTCTCTAACTCAATGGAGTTAAGTTTGTAATAATAATAATAATAATTAATAATAATAATAATAATAATAATAATAATAATAATAATAATAATAAATTTATTTCCAAAAGAATTACATTGACAGTGTACAAAAAGCATCACCATAAAAACAATAAGAAAGAATACCAAATTTGTTTTGCTACTTTACATACATTGTACATCCTGTTTAACCTTTCAGTAAAAATACTGGTCTCATCAGATTTAAATTTTACATTTAAATATATTTATTTTATCTTATTCAGTACATTTCAAGCCCTCTCTAAGTACTTTATGTACTTGTCAGAGAGGGGTGTGTTACATTGTACATTTGTTTTGTTTTTCTTTTTTGTATTACCGTTATTGATTATAGTTCACCCATCATCAGTAGTAATCATTTTGGATTCATCATCATTCTGGAGTAATTTTTAAAGAATTAAGACAGTCTGAAATAAAGTCGATGATATTTCTATCATTCGACTCCAAATGTTTACCAGAAAAGTTTTTATGGCACTTACTCAAGATATCATCTAGTTGATTAATATCACTAATTTTTTGCTGTATAGGAGAACGATTCAATTTTGTAATTTGCATATTTTTGTGATGTATCACAACAGTTAATAGTTCAGTTATAGTTACTGAACATTGTAAAACAGGATGCGGAATTTCTTCTATAAGTACAAATATGACACACTTTTCTTTAATTAGAACTGTTCACTCATCATATTTAAGTTTATCTATTGCTAATTTAAAATTTGGTCCAAATTTTCAAAACTTCTTCCTTCATTGTACTCTGTGAATGTTTGGACACTATTCTCCAACGCACTGTTTAATGCTGCCATTTCAAGACACATTCCTTTTTTGGTTGGGGCTTTCTCTCGATGTTGTTGCTGGCTTTGATAAATAACTGGGGCAATCCAGGAACTGGTTTGGTACAGCTCCTGTGGGTCATACATTTGAGGTATTAGTTATTATATATTTGAATCATACATATTAACTAGATTGAATGATTGAACAATGCAATTCGTAACTTTAACAAGCCTTGGATATGCCAATGGTACTGAAAGCATCCACTGAAGACTGAAGGCCAGTCTTTTCATTGACCATTGTATTTATTCTTTCAATTTGGTGGGATTGAAAGTGACGTTTACATACCTAATAAACAACATATTATGTTAATATATTATAAAATAAATTAAAAAACAACAAATATTTCAGAAAAATCAGAATGGTATACGGGGGGTGATGTATAATATCTACTAACCTTAGAGGTCTTGCTTGGCTGGAACTTGTCTCTGCTTATCGCTTTCATCCAAGTTTGTTTGAGGTTCTCTTCAGTTGGGAAAGAGAAAACACTCACATTAGGTCCGTTGAGATAATTTTCCTTACAATTGGGCACACAGCAATGATACGGCATCTTAGAATTCTGTGAATAACAATAACATAAAAATGTTTAATAGAGATCTTTACTTTCACACATTATGTTCATTGTTACATTCAAGTGTACAAGTACATTCTTACCTTCTCTGAATCTAAATTGCTCTTCTAAAAAAATGTTTTGTTTGCACAATTATAACTCACTTTCAAATATTTCTAGAATTTGAAAAAAACACGCTTTCAAATATTAGTAGATACGCCTTTCACAACTCACATGTGCTTCACACCACTGGCAACAAACCACGCTGGCTGAAATGTTATGACTACACATGATGACGTCACAAACACGATGGCCGACTGCCAACAGGCCTGATGATTTAGGTGGCATTGATTCTATATTTAAAACTTAAAATGGTGAGGAGGCAATTTTTGAGCAGTTTCTTTCTTTTTTCAATTTGTTCACGTAGTCCTACTGCAGCACCTAATGCGTCTAGCAAATCCAGAGAGAAACAAAACTGTTTTTTTATCAGGCATTCTCCTTCTACTGCACAGGATGCGATATGCCATTGCTCTTTTTAAACAATGGTTTAATTTTTGCTGTTTTGAATATATCTGGGAATATGTCTGATTTTAGAGAGCAATTGCAGAGAGTAAAAAGCCTCTACTGATCTAGCTCTGATAAAAGTTATCGACATACATTTCTTGATAGTAAGGTCATTTACAATGCACAAATCAGAGTATCCAATGCTTGCTGCAAAAGAACCCGGTTTTTGATTAACTGACTTCTCAAGAAACGCTTCAGTTAATCTACAAATAGCAGGTATTCAACTTCATTAATCAGCTCAGAAATGTCATTAATAAAAATATTAAACAATAGGGAACCCAAATGAGAACCTTGTGGAACACCTAATGAACCTGCAATAGGGCCAGAGATGACACCAACACATGGGACCAACTGTATGCAATCAGCTAAATAAATTCTGAACAAACATAACAGTGGTCCACATATCCCCAGGTGTTAGAGATTGTGCAACAAAATGACAATCAAAAGCCTTACTAAAATCAGTATACATACAGTCAGTCTGAATACCATCAAAATACCGTACCGTCAAAAATGTAGGTAGAATAGTATTCAAGATTCACTTTTTTATCAAGGGAATTTTTTTTATTGCAGGTTTCATTTTGAACCCTTACACATTGCACAATAATAACTTTTTCCAAATCGTACTCACAGAATATTAAGAAAAAAATGTTTAAGAAATCAGTGGAGCTTGAGTAGTACACAGAGAATAATGTGTGCAACAAGAATGTGCAAACAGTCGTTACTTCCTAGATGACCTTCGTGTAATACGTGCACCCACGAAAAGAAATTAAGACATACAAAATAATATTTTTGGTGTTTTCCAATTGTATAACTAAAAACATTACCAACCATTGTATTAACCTTCCTAATGCTAAGAGGTGTCTAGCAGGACCCCATGTCTATATTTCAACAAATAGAATGTGAAGACATTATGTTGGAATGTCGGTAATTTGTTAATGTGTCAAAAATAACAATGTGTTGAAGATAAAAAAAAAAACATCTTTGGAAATTACACAACAAATTTCAACATAAGACAGTGGTGCTACAAAAATTGCACAGAATTTCTCGAGTACATGATTCCTGTTCTGAATCGACATTAGCTTTGTTTTCACTCCACCTTCTTCCCAGCAGCTATCAACCAGTGTTTAAAAGGCCTACCAAGTCCTCTCACTCCTAACAAGACATTCCCAATGAAAAGTACCTTCCTGTTCTCTGAATATCAAGTAGGTCTATGTCGCCAATAAACCTGTGCATACTTGCCCACAGTATCCCGTGACCTCTGAATATATCATAATCCATCAATAAAAGAAGATAAATTACCTGTCATCCCCAACGATGATTATGGGTAATTTAAAATTGAAGGATAGTCTTGTTAACTTATTTCGTTTTTTCGAAACCACAGACTGTGAGCATATTGGTTTATATTTGTTGATATTGATGTCAAAAACATGGACTTTTCCATCATTCGTAACACAAGCAAAAACAGTACTTGAATACGGGGACCATTCAATATCTCCAATTGGTGAGCCAACATCAAAGACAAACAGTGGAATCCTGGAAAAACAACAAATTGTATGTTAAATACATAAGTCATATTCATAAGAAGAATTAATGTGGCAGTAGGAAAAACTAGGTTCAAAAACATTGATTTTCCTAAAGATGTTAAAAATTGCAGTAAGCAATTACAAGATGTGTGTTATAATGGTTTACTATTCTCGCAGAACAGAATAAAATGTTAATGGCCAATAACATTCTATCAGTTACCTATAGTGTTTGTTATATCCACTATCTTCTTAGGATATGCGACAGGAGCTTTTAACGCTCGATGCAAAGAAAATAAAAAGGGTGAGGTAGCGCGATTTGTGATGAAGGATCAATAAATTGTACAAACCCTCATGGGCCCAGAATTGTATTTGCTGAATATTTTTATAATCTATCACGAGCCCCACTTTTTGAATTTTTTTTTTTTAATCGTTCTTTACATTATACTGATGTGTAGTGAAAACTCAGCACTAAGCACCCACAATATTATATTATTTGACACTTTGGAGCAACAAATATATTTGTCAGGAGTGGATCTAGCTGAACATCTTTTGGAAGGATGGGGCACCTTATATTTTGTTTCATAATAAACTCATATTTATTATTATATTTTATATTATATAAACAAATGATGCTATCTAATATTATTGTTTAAATAATTACATCATTGTAACATAAACAAAGATTTAAATCAATTTTTTGCCAAAACACAAAAAAGGCAGAGTAACAAATGAAAATAAAACTTCATTTCAATGAAAGAACCTCATAATGTAAACACATGGAGTATTCGAATATTACTGGTGAGTAATTAATTTCAGGTGGTTAAAAACACACAATTTCGACTTCTCTATTCGAAGAATAAATGTTTCTTATGTCATTTTGCTGAGACACACTTCATTTTTGCACATTGTTTGGACAATTTCTCTTGTTCAGTCATGTCCAGACAGTTCTGCTTATAGTATGTATAAGTAATTATGCTCAATTCGCAGCCCTCACTCCACGTCCCATTTCCCTTTCAAAGTCTGCAAGGCTGACTCATTATTACAAGTCAGCAAGTTCTAGGAGAGAATTAAGGCTGATGTCATTGCTTGATGACCCATTACCGAGACATTTCTCATATAACCAATTCAGTCACACCCGGGTTCTTTTTTTAATTGATCAAATTTGTGGTGTTGGGAACTCTACTGAGCCTCGCCAGTGCCCTCTTTTAAACACTCACCCCGAAGGCACAGTAGTCATTCCACTGAGGCCTAGGGAGGTGTGGTGGCCGGTCTGTAGACTTCGGGATTGCAATGGAGGCTGTGTACAGAGCGTTCAGGGCAGTGAACGATTATAATGACAGCTTCTATAACAGATGAGCGTCACCTAAGACTGCATCGCTCTCTGCTAAATATTCTTCCGTCAGTCAGCTGAGTTGCATTCACAGCTGTCCGCGGTTGACTGAATTTGTAATTTTGATCGTGTGGATGTTAGAAACAGTTTTCACGAGAGATTCATTTAATTCCATATCATTAATGATAAAAAATTATACTAAGTGATTCAAAACATTTCAAAATACTCTTGAGAACATGTGTGATAGATTGAATTAAGTCATCAGATACAAGAATGAAATGGAATATACTGCAAAGCTCCCACATAGGCCTTGTTAAAAACTACTGGAATTCTGCCGGTACTTTTTGATCTTGCGTGTTCAGAAGATTCAAATTAATGTGTCCTGTATGTTTTGCAGTTATGATATCTGGTGTTTATAATTACGATTTCATTTTCATGTTGCTCATCTTATGA